AATTTTATCAATCATTTAATTAAATCATTTTATGTGATGATATTAATATTAAAAATATTTATTAAAAATATTTTAATAAATTCATAAATCAATCTGCATTGTTAACTTACACTCCAATTTGAAAAACATTTTTTCAATGTTAAATTGTTCCGTGTATAATATTCAAGTCCAAGTCCAGCCTAACTTTAGGGGAAGAATTGAATGATGATCTAAGAAAGGAAAAAAAAAAACTTTTTACTCATAGTATAGTTTTTAAAGTATATTTGATAATGAATTATGTTACTTATAAATATGGAGTAATCTCTTAATCTCATGTTTTAAATCTTTTCTTACCGAAGGTTAAAGTTAAATTTTTTAATTTCAAATTAATATCAAATTCTTATAAGTTGAAACACTCATTTTAATACATATCATTTTTATCACATTATATGAATATATTAAGCTTTGAATCATGCCCAGAGAAAAAACTTATATAATTGTTGTTAATAAAAAATGATATAATTATAATATCATATGTATTGTAAATTTATAAATATATATAATTTATTATATAATTAATTTTTTATTTAAAAATTCATTTATAATAATATATATATTTACTTGTTATTGATCATCAATACCATATAATTTGTTTAATCCAGTAGTACAAGTAGATTAACTAAAAAAAATCAATCTGAATATGGTCAAGGTTTCCTTTGTGAACCGAGTCAAAAGTGGTAAGCAATGCAAATATTTAAACCCCAATATTTTTTAAAATTATTTTTTTCGAAAATTGACTCAATTGACTAATATTTTAACAAACAAAAATTAATTTTCAACGCAAGTATGTACATGAACTTTGACTATTTCTCACATTTATCAAATCTTCCATTTTATTCGTTCTTGTATGTCGTTTTATGGGAAAGGTATACTAGACAATATATAATATTATCAAGTAAATTATTTTATAAATTAAATTAAATTAAACAAATACTAGAACTACAGGACAAGACGGTAAAAGTTGACTTGGACGAATGTTGTGTGTGTATTTCTATAAATTAAGCAAAACAAATACTAGGTAGGATAATTAATCTGTAAAACGTATGATATATGGAAAAGATTCTGGGGAAGATAGATAGGTGGGAGACCACACACACGAGCTGAAACCTGGTTTGATTAAAACTAAAATTTCATAATCAATATTGATTTTTTTTTTTTCAAATGAAATGGTGGAATCCTTGTAGGTTTAAGAATTATGGCAAAAGCTTGCCTTTAACCTCTCAGTTTATTAGGTTTATAGGTTTTAATATCTTACTTTATATTATGATGCTTTTAACCCCTCGCCTATTAAAATTAAAGAAAATAGTCATCACTTTATAATATTTTGTTAGTTTTATTAGTTGACTATTAACTTTATTAACTGATTGTTAGTTGATTGTTAGTTGACAAAAAACTTCTTTTAGTTTAGCTAATAGAGTTAACAGAACTAATTTTATAATATTTCGTTAATTCTATTAACTAGCTATTAGTTGATTGTTAGTTGACAAAAATCTACTTTCAACTAACAAAATTAATAGTCAGTATAAAGTGAGGGCTATTTTTTTTCAATTTTAAATAGATGATGGGTTAAAATCTACAAATCTAGTAAGGTGAAAAGTTAAAAGTATTATAATATAAAGTAAAGAATTAAAACCTTCAAACTTGATAAAGTGAGAGGCTTAAAGTAGGTTTTACCTAAGAATTGCAGGGTCTTTGTCCAAAAAAAACCTATCACAATGGTTTGTTGGGCGATTGGGACCTAATGGAACCCGACTCGCAATGAAGAGATTGTTAACTTGAGTTTCATTAGACATGCATATTTGGTATTAAATTTTGATTTTGTTTGTTAATATTGTGTTGTCATGATGTGCTATATATATATATATATTTAGGGTAAATATCATATTTAATTTTCAAATTTTATTAGATATTATCTTAACTTTTTAATTGAACCAAAAATGGTTCCTAATCTTTTTATAATTATCAAACTTAATCTTAGGGCTAATTACTTTGGTTTGTCTTAACTGGAATTTTGACAGATCTAATAAAAAATTTTATATAATTTTTCTTTTAATTTTTATTGCCTAAAATTATTTTTATTAAAATTTAAATTCTTTACCGATCTTAACCCTTCCTTCTTGAAAAATATTTGGGAATTTTTCTCTTTATAGATAAAAGTTTTTATATATTATATATATATA